CTTTGACAAGGTCACGAATATCGTCTATTTGGAGGGCGACGTTCAGCCCAATGAAAGCTCCCTTCGCAGCGCCTCGCACCAAAGTTGCTGCATTTTTTGCAATCATTTTTGCGGCCATTCCCGTCCCTTGCTTGATAATACCTTTTTCAGCCAGACGTCCTACATTCAAACATAGGCGACGTATAGTAGACACAATTGCATTCACACATGGTTTTCTCGCTAGCGTGCGGTAAACAGACACTGCTCCAACACGACCGTAGATCTTCAGCATGGCACGGAGCGCCGCTTCGTCTTGTGAAATTCCCTGGCTCTTGTATTTTTCATATTCAAAGTGTAGTTTTTCCAAATGGCTGGCGAAGTTGTCGGACGCTGCCTTGGCTTTTTCCGCAATCGCTTCAGCTTTTTCCAGGAATTCTCTAAAAGTCAACTATTCCACAGTTACACGCCACTGGAAATTGCTCCGTTTAGATATCTAAAAACTTATAGTTATGTTTACACTTCTGTCGAGGATTCTGCACTAGGAAACAGTAGCAGCTTATTTAGGTTGGAAGAAATGCTCACCCATTTATCAATTAAATATAAACTTACTGCGAAAGACATGAATTCAGTGAATGCCTTGAACCGGGATTAAAAAGGGATGCATGAGATACATTTCAAGAGCTTCCCAATCCTGTGTCTCGACTTTACTTTTATCCGTGAGCCTAATTGCCCTAACCGCAAGCGTGACTCCCATAACCCTAATCCTTAATCCCTTCACTGCGCTCTTTAAGTCAAATATCACCATTTTAACTGAAGATGAAAGTCGTGTCCATCTAAATATTATAGAGAAATCTCATATTGCCTTACTTAGGCCAAACAGGTATGCGTGTGGCTATTTCTATTATGTTTTTCAATACGGACCCCGTTTTCCCCTCGAGAAGTTTCCGCCTATACCACTTATTAATTTCAGTATTGTTAGGTGGTCAGACGATGTGCTTTTGTCCCTTTTCTGTTAGAGGATATGCGTAATGCATGTGATGGCATCGTTGTTCATTGCCAAGAAGAAGAATATCATAAAGTGAAGTATTGCAACTTCTGCTTAATTTCTGCTTTACTTCTTTTTTCTACGTAATTCTGTAGTCTAGACGATTTCCTACAAATCTTCTACAGACAAAACGAAATGATTTTCATAGGTAAAGAAAACTGGCTTAGGATTATACAAGCAATTTAAGACAAAAGAACAAAATTACTTCGTCTCGCTGATGTTTATTGCGTCCGTAACGCTATTCGTTGCTACGCCGGCAACGGTGGTTCCGATGGCTGCCCCCGTTACGAAGAGGGATAAACCGCCTGTCGGTATGGCGAAAATAGCGCCTGCAATTGCCAGTCCAGTGCCAACAGTTGACACTGACGTTCCAACTGTCTTAGCAATATCACATTTCTTTTTGAAATCTGCAACTGCCCGACGCAGTCCGCGCAGTTCAGAAGTGAGCTCCCTCAGACGAGAAATGTATTCCGACAGTGCCTTCTCCATTCTTCCTTTAAATGTTAATGCAATATTTACGAACAGAGGTGCAGTATAAGTAACAAAACGAGGGAGGTGGCCGTCATGAAGCAGGTTCAGGTTTTTATTATTCCGGACTTTCGTACTCGCACATGAGTCGGTCGTCAAAAATTATGGAAACATTTCAAGTAATCTGAATTCCTTTTTATTATTCTCGATCACCCTTTACTCGTTTGATGCTATTCAGTGGCCTTTCAGTAAAACAATTACACAGCATAGTGGTACCTTAAAGGACAATGCAAAGTTGGGCTTGCAGACAGTGTTCCAAGCGTACCGCCAAAGGAATTTCAAAAGATGCAAAGCTCTCTTTTATGTAAAGATTTCCCGAGTTGTCTCGCTTGGGATGAAAACACCTGATACGTGTTTCGCTGATATGAGACCTCATAAGCAGTGCGTATGCTGGTCATGTCCAGGACAACGTTTACGTTTTGCATAGAAGTTTACTTACAGATTGTCGGGTTTGGAGCGCAAACTCCCGACATGTATTGAATTCTCACTACATCTCGTCAGAAGTGTATCTCCACGTTCTACTCATGACTGGAATTTCGAGCTCTCACGCGGGTAGCGACATCATTGCTTCTGAGCCGCGAGCTCACACTGTGATTAGCTGAAATGTTTATATTAGTTATTAGTCCTGTCTAACTGCTGTCACTTCATTTCGTGGAAATTAAGTGGTTAAGTTGGGTTGTGGGTACTAATCAGGTTAATGACTTTACAAACCGATGCAGGCATTTGAAGCAAAGGATTGCTTACGAGGCATAGTCTGAGTTACCATACCCTTTCGTTCGACAACTTCGTCTGAAGACGTATCAGCTGGCCGCTGTTGATTTCCGATCTGGTTGACTTCATACTGATTATAATCATTCGGCGTACATAACACCACTTTTATATACATATTCGAATGTATTTAATGTGTCCAGGGACCGGCAGAACGCCTAGAAGATTTATCCCATTGACCTTGTAACGCTGTGTGAGACAGGAACTACTACTGCTGCGATACTGTTTAAGTAATAAGTGTGGGCACCTCAGCTGGAATTGCAACCTTACGCGTCGATTGGCTGTAACAATACAATCATAGTCAGAGTGAGTGCAGTATAACCTACGAAATTATTGTCCTTAATAGAAGCACAGGTAGTAGCTAAAAGCCCGCACAAGTGCTTCGCGGGTGTTCTTTCACTACTTGAAACAGTTGCATTCTTAGGAACTAAAAATCTAAAATAGGTGAAATATATAATTATGTATTACCCTGGCGTTGAAGATGACTGACGGAAGCAGGAGTTTCCTTGGTAGCGCACATATGTTCTTATTTATATTTAAATGCCT